TATGAGGATCATTTGGCATTTATGTGAACATTTATAATTTAATGAACCTTTGAAAAGTGTAAAATTGTGCTGGCAGTAGGTATCATAAAGAATGAAGGGCAGTGATGGAGCAGATCACACTTATTCTGTAATTGCCTCATTTTTCTAACACCTACATGGAGACCAGTGACAATCACACATAACTCAAAACAGAGGGGGCTGCCCTGGACAAAATTCAGCCCTTATGGGACTTATCTTTAGCAATTTCTTTTGTCATGGACAATTTTATGAGCACAGGCTCTATGCATCCTGTTTATCTCCCATGTCTGCTAACTACAGAGAGAAAACAAGTTAAAATGCAGATTCTGGGGGCCTCTGTTCACATTCTAAAGTATAACTGGATGGGAAAGACCATGGGTGGAAGCTCTCCCACAGCATCCCCATGCTATTTAAGCACATTAAATCACCACTTACATTTATAATAGGCAAACTGCAAGTAATGGTACATGGTGGCCACAAATTTCTCAACCACAAAGCCTCCTATGATGGGGGTCAGGTTACTCTCACACTGCACTTTGCATCCAAGGACTTCAATATAATGATCTAGAAGGAAAAAAACAACCATACAGGATAAGGACAGTGCACAGTGAACTGTTGTAACCCCTTCCATTAGCTACCCATTAAAATTTGGCCTTCTAATGCACTCCTGGGTCCTGTGCATCTGGATTTTGCTGCTTGGAAGTAGGGAGCACCTCCAACTTCATCTCAAGTGCTGGTAGTCAGACCTTCTGTAAAAATCAGTGTGGTCTGGGCTTCAAATGTGCCAAAGCTGCAATTCTGGAGAGGCAAGCTGACACCTACAGGCAGCACATGGTGGGAGGTTTTAGACAGAGTGCTATGGAGTATCACATTATTTCCTAACTGTGGGCCTAACAGTGCTTTTTTTGGTGCTTTTTGGCTTTTTAATTTTGAGATCCTTTGAGATTTCATTGCATTATTGCATGAATAAGGTCCACGTGCTGCTGAGTACAACTGTGTCACAGAGAAATACAGCAGCTGCTTGCAAAATAAACCTCCAGAGGTGGCTACATTTTGTGCCTGCAGTTTGGATGTTCCAAAAGAAAGAAAGAAACTAATATGTTGCTCACTGCAGAACAGCTTTCAGCCAGAAATGCTTAAATTCATGGGCTTACCCAGACTGCAGCAGCTTGCTACAAGGGGACTGGACTAGTGGCAGGCTGACTACTGAGCCTCAAAGGTGGCCAAAATGATATTGAAATAGTCTGGATGACTATTGCTACCTGGATGGAGCAGTTGTTATTACTCACACAGCTATGTTATTTTCACACACACAAATTTCCATGGTCAGGTAAGAACCCTCTGTTCTCATATGGGTAAGAACCCTCTGTTCTGATTTTCTCACTGCCCTCATTTTGTTACTGGGATTAAAAAAAAAAAAGCTAAAGCAGAATTCAAGCAATTTTCAGGGATCTACTCAACTCAGGTTGGCCCAAACTGAGCAGGGGCCACGAGGTGCCTTTCACCCTGCAAGCTGAGGAGCATGACTTTGGGAGCCAGTCCCACAGATAAGCTGAAATGCACTTTTGGGACATCTTCCCTAACCACCCACCTGCAATGGAGAGGTAGAAGTCTTTAAAGTCTTTGATCTCTCGAGAGCCTTCACAGGTTGCTGTACAGTCATCATAGGCTTTGAAGAAGTCAGGAAGAGCCAGCTCCATGTCAGAGATGGATGTTCTCCAGTTGTCACCATTGTATGCTCTCACAGCTCTGACAAAGAGAGTCTGAAAAATGAGCGGGAATGAAAGCCAGCAGCAGCTGATCTGTGGAAAGCTGCCTGTCAGTTCAAATACAGGAAATGATGTCTCTGCAGTTCTGGATTATTATATAAGCTGTTACCCAATGAATGTGAGGACAACAAATACAGACAGCTAATGGATTTGACCAGATGTTTCCTAGAGAGCAGAGTAGGTAATTCCACTTCAGATCAACAGAAAAGCCTCAGGGACAGAGGGAACAGGTTTTGATAAGAGATTTTCAGTGGAGTCTTAGCACGAAATGTCTGTGTTATTTTCACTGCATGAGAGGTGAGGATTCCTGGATGCATCAAGGAGGCAACAGGGATGATGGAGGAAAACAGTGAGAGGGAAAGGAGAGTGAGAACTGAGAACACATAAGCAAATGAGGTCCTGGAATCTCACACAATAAGAGGAAAAATAGAACAGTTCCAAAAGACCAGACTCTGAGCAAAAACCATACCTCATAAGGCTTTGTCTCCAAGTCTTTAATATGCTCCTCAGCATCAGGTATGCTCTTATAGTAAGCCATGTTCCTTTGCATCATTTCATCATCTGGATGCTTCAGAAGAAACGTGTGAGCTGCTGCAATAGCTTTTGGCAGATTATTAGCCTAAAAAGGGACAGGAGGAAGGGAGGGGAAAAGTTTAATTAGAAAGGAAAAAAAAACAGTTCAAAGTTTCTAGTTTTTTGCCAATTAACTTTCCTGCAGCCTTTATATTCCCAAACTTCTTTCTACAGAAACCACAGCCTCACCAGATAAGTCAGTACAGCAAAACTGATACAATTCTTCTCAGTTTTACTCCCAGCTGCATCACTATGAGCTTTTACCTTTTAATTGTAGAAGTCCATTATTGTTGCAGACAGCAAGTCAAAATGACCACCTTTTTTTTTTTCCCCTTCCTCTGCTTATAAAGCTGACAAGGCACAAGATTACACTGTGGCTCCTGTGTGGCATTAATCTCACAGAAATTACTGAAGCTAATCCATGGCTACTGGGCAGGACTAACCACTCACCACGTTTACATGGGGCTTATGTTGCTCATTTGCCCAGCAGCACAGAAAACAATCACATATCTTCCTGATACTGTTATGAAGTTAGAGTGAAAAGGAAGAGGAAAGACTTCAATAACTGTACTATGTGATTTTCTGTACCCATTTTTAAACTTTAAACCCCATGAGAGATACTTGGTGAATGTGAATGTGTTCCTCATTTAAAACAGCATGTGCCAAACACACACAGACTTCTGTGTGCATGCATTTGTATTTTGTATTTCCTCTATATACATGTTTTTAGAAACTCTATGGTATATATACACACATTTAGGAAGAGTGAGAATGTAGAAGTCTTAAGTATTTGTGAAATGCTAAAGCCTTTTCCCTTGTAAGCTGAGTTCCCTTGATGTGTGGGCAATCTACAGCTCCTCTTCACATCAGAAGCAGCTCCTGGAAGTGTACACATAAAACTGGGAGCAAGAATCTCAACTATGCACATGCACTAGTCTGTTTGCATCCAGAAAAAGTTACCCTCTCATTTCAGGAGGAAACTTTAAGAGGTGGCTACACCAAAAGAAAGACTTCAACCCTAACAAGAGCTCTGTCTGCTGTGCTGCTTTAAGTGTCCCAGGGCTGGAGCTCTGCCAGGCTGCTCTTCCTGGCTGACCCAAAACTATGTGCTTCTAGTCAGCCCAGGCAGTGCCAAACAGGAAGGGAAATCTCAGCTGCACTTTCGTCAGATGCCTCCTTTCCTTTGTGCTCTAACCCTGTTTGCTGGTAAGCTGACAGCTCTCCTTATTTTTGCTTAGTTTGTAGCTCACTCTTGGTTTCAATTTTCACTCCTTAAAACAAGAAAAAAAAAGAAAGAAAAAAGGGTTTTGTGGAAACATTCCTAAGTGAGCTCAGTAGCTAGGAGAAAGCTCCCTCCAGAGGAGCAAGCAGCAGGACAGAAACATCTACTCCCAGATCTACAACGTGGCAAAATGTCACTGTTGAACCCACCTGAATAAACACTTGGTCATGCTACAAAATGACATAAAGAGTTTCCCTCTGCCCTCCTCCCGTGCTACAAATGTTCTTGGTGGGGTTGTGGGGTGGGGGAAGTGACATTTCTTCCTTCAGAAAACCAGCCCTTTTCCTTCAGGAAGAAAAAAAGTGCTTTGTATGTAGCAGTTTGTAGCTGTAGAAGGCACATCCAGGGCTCCCCACGTGAGCTGTAAGGGCTCGGAGCTGGACTGACAATCTACTAAGGCAGAATTTAAACAACTGACACTAAAGGCAAACCCACCCAACTGCAAATAGGATGGAAAACAAAATGGTTTAAAGGGAGAGGGTTCTGCAAGGTCCCTCTCACATTTCTACCCACCAGAACTGCAACTGTATCAGGAACAGCAGCCAGGGGTGATTTTTGCCCTGATCCCCACACTGCAAACTCTGTAGGTACCACAAGAGGGGAATGAATAGTTACAGACAGACAAGAAATGGAAACTTTTGTGGTGATGTCATTTTGGCATCTCTGCCTGGCCTTGGGAATCCCAGGAGTGCCTGTTACTCCAGAGAAATGGCCCCTGTTTGATACCTTCTGTGTGTGCAGAGGCTTTCATGTGTCAAGTTCTTCCCTGCACGGTCTCAGGGATGGCACTAAATGCACAGGGTGACATGTGCCTCTGCATTCTGTCCCTGGGCTATGAGAACACACTTCCCTGCATCTGTTTGTGTAATTTGGGGAGCACACTGAATAGTTTCATGAGAAAACAGCACTCTTACAAATAAGACACAGCAATAAGTGTTATAATAAGATGTGTTTTCAAGCAGCAATATCAAAACCAATGCACAAGCACACCAGCCTATATAATTTATACTGGGATATACTGGGAGTGAATCCCTAGAGGACAAAACAATCCAGCTGGAGTTCAGCTTGTTTTCTCCCCCTCTGATGTCTCAGGTATTTGAAATGCAAATAACTGCAGTATCTGAAAGGATGGCATGAGGGACAGACCTTGATTTGGAGAACAGATCAAGATTAGGAGGGAGAAAATTGTCAATTAGATCCTGGACAGAAGGATGACAAGAAGCTAAAAACTGGGATGAAATATTTTTAAAAGATATGTGTCCCCCCAGTCTTGGCTGACCCAAGAGCAAAGAGTGAACACCCTCACAGGGCCAGCATTAGTGTCACTCTTCAGCAGCCAACTTTTGCTTTATTCCTTCCCACGGCTGTAACAAAACTGGAGTCTGGAAGGCATCAAACTATCTGTGAGTCACAGGTCACAGCCTGGGGGCTGCTGCTCTGGAAAGAACATGGGCCAGAAGAGAGCAAGCAAGGGAGCTGGACATGGTGAGGGAGAGGAAGCAGCAAAGAGGGCTTGCAGTAGTGGAGTGGTGACATCAAGGGTCTGAGAAAAGGTTTCAGAGAGGGTTAGAAGAAAGTGAGGTGGATGGAAAGATGAGAAGAGCAGGGGTAGGAACGACACAGCTACAGGACAAGGAGTCAGGGAACACTGGCTCAGGGTCTGGGAAGAACTGGATGGGCTAATAGAGGGAATGTTCTGGAAAAACTTGTGAGGAGTGAGGTGGAGGGCGAGCAGCTGGGGGGACAAGGCACATGCTGGTCCTGCCATGGGTTACACAAGGTGGGAGGGAGGAAGGGGCTGAAAGACTTGCCAGAGAGAGGATGATGAGGTTCAGGGCTGGCCACCCAGGATGGCAGAGCTTGCCCGTGGAGGGGGAGAAATGGAGGTGGGTGGACACCAACTGGTGTCTAAACTGGTGTGGAGAAGGCAACAGGGAATGAGGCTGTGGCCCAGAGTAACTTCCTCCAAGGACCAGGGAAGAGGCTGGGATGACAAGAGGCTTTTCCAGCAACGGGTGCATGAGGCACTCGTGTCCACCAAGGCTGTGACAGGGACACACCACACTGTCCCCCTGCACTGTGACAGGGACACGTGGCTTGGCTGGGCTTGGCACCAGGTGAGAATCTGGAGAGCAGAGGGAGGGGAAGAGCTGAGAGATGGGATGGGAGAGGGAAGGGAAGAGGCTGGGATGACAAGAGGCTTTTCCAGCAACGGGTGCATGAGGCACTCGTGTCCACCAAGGCTGTGACAGGGACACACCACACTGTCCCCCTGCACTGTGACAGGGACACGTGGCTTGGCTGGGCTTGGCACCAGGTGAGAATCTGGAGAGCAGAGGGAGGGGAAGAGCTGAGAGATGGGATGGGAGAGGGAAAGAGGAAGAGGGATGCCGGGATGGGAAGAGGGATGGCAGCTCGGGCCGAGCCTCACCTTGAAGTAGGCGAACTGCAGGTACTTGTAGGGCTCCCGGCGCTGGAACTCGCGGAGCAGGTCCCGGCCGGGCTGGGCTTGTCGGAAGGCGGGCAGCCCCTGCTTGCAGCGCCGCAGGCACTGCGCCCTCCGCAG